TTTTTTTTTTTTTTTTTTTTTTTTTTTTTTGGAAGGCAATGGGTTGAGGGGTATATTGGGAAAAACAGCTTATTTGGAGGATTGGATCACTACAATAACTCCATTAACGGCTGGGGAAGCTACCTTCAATGTTACATTTGATTGGGATGAAGAAGAGATGGGAATTCCTGGTGCTTTCTTCATTAGAAACGATCATCATAGCGAGTTCTATCTTAAATCTCTAACACTTCGACACGTTCCCGGCTATGGAAGAATCTATTTCCTTTGTAATTCTTCGGTTTACCCTTTTCGTACCAGTAAAAAAGATCGGGTTTTCTTTGTCAACCAGGTTCGGGTCCTTTTCTCTTTCTACTTGATATTGAAATGCGTTGGAATTAGAATATGTTTTTTTTATTCTCGTTCCTTGATTCCCATTTCGGGTAAATAGCAACCCCAAAGTTAAAAAAATTACGATACTTATGTGAGAATGTTTGTTTAATACACCACACATAAATAGTGTGTAAAAGTTCTCTATTTATAATCAAATAAATTACAAGAATATGGAAATAGTAACGAATGGAATAACAATACAGGGAAAGATACATGTACTACTAAAGTAAATATTTTGATATTTGCCTTTAATAAAATATCAAATATGATATATATGATAAACTATAATTTAGTATTAAATATCCTTAACACACGAGTTAGATATATGTTAAATTATATTGAATTTTTATTTAGTTTATTTAGTTTTTGTCTATTTAATTTTTTTTTAAATTATATTTAGGATTTTTTTTTTATTAGTCTCTTGATTTGTTATTACCACCGTTCTTAAATTTTGAATTTTATGTCTAATGGTTTTTGAACTTTCAATTATATCTAATATGTTATGTGAGATCCTACATCGATTGGAGAGTCGAATGAAACATTCTTTATAAGGGTGTGAAAACCTATCCCTAACAAACGTGTTTTAAAGTTGTGAGGCTAACAACGATATGTAACGGGCCAAAACGGACAATATTTGTTAGCGGTGGGCTTGAACTGTAACGAGCCTAGAGGAGTGAATTGTGAGATCCCACATCGGTTGTAGAAAGAAACAAAACATTTTTTATAATGGTGTGAAAACCTATCCCTAACAGACGTGTTTTAAAGCCGCGAGGCTGACAACGATATGTAACGGGCCAAAACGGACAATATCTGTTAGCGGTGGGCTTGGACTGTAACACACCAAGGAGGTGGATTGTGAGATCCCACATTGGTTGTAAAAAGAAACAAAACATTCTTTACAAGAATGTGGAAATTGAGGCTGACGACGATATGTAACAGAGCAAAATAAACGTCAGTGAGCTTGAACTATTACATTATCGAGTTGTATTTATTATAATTATTGAATCAATTTAAAATTCAAATTAATAATTGATCTATTAAGTAATTTTAAAGTAATGGGACCATAGAGTATCGAGTTGTATTGATTAAAATTTTAAATTAATAATTATTTATCTAATTGTTTAAATTTAATTTGAAAAGGCTATTATTTAATTGATGACGTCAAAATTGAAGTTTAAAGGTATAAATAAATGAAAATTTAATTTTGTTTTACCCAAATTGAAACAGACCTATCTTCCAAGCGAAACACCAGAGCCGCTTCGTAAGTTGAGAGAAGACGAGTTGCAGAGCTTGAGAGGAGGTGGCAATGGCGAACTCCAAGAATGGGATAGGGTTTATGATTATGCTCTCTATAACGACCTTGCTGATCCAGATAAAGGTTCAGAATACGCTCGTCCCGTCCTTGGCGGCTCGATCAACTATCCTTACCCTCGGAGAGGAAGAACCGGACGACCGCCGACTAAATCTGGCAAGAAAATCAAAATCTCTTCCAAATAGTATTGTAGATTCAATTTATTGGAAATGTATCGGAATTGGAATCGATTTTTCTTTTTCTTTCAGATCCGGAAACTGAGAGCAGAATACCACTTGTTCAGAGCTTAAACATTTACGTTCCGAGAGATGAGAGATTTGGTCACGTGAAGTTGTCCGATTTTTTTGCTTATGCGTTGAAGGCATTATTGCAGTTTATCAAACCTGGCCTCGAAGAATACTTTGATGCCACTCCGGGTGAGTTCGACAGCTTTCAGGACGTTCTTGATCTCTATGAAGGAGGATTTCGAGTGCCGGATGGTTTGTTTGAGGTTATCAGGGAAAACATTGCGGCTCCTTTGATCAAGGAAATTTTTAGAACTGATGGTGAAGGGCTCTTCAAATTCCCTATGCCTCAAGTGATTAAAGGTATTTGAAGTTTGTAGTCTCTGATAACTTAGGTTCTTGTCGGCTTAAATTTCTGATGATTTAATCATTTTTTGTAACAGAGGATAGAGCTGCATGGAGGACGGATGAAGAATTCGGTAGAGAAATGCTGGCCGGAGTGAACCCTGTAGTCATTCGTCGTCTCCAAGTAATTTCAGCAATCTATAATAACCTCGTTTTTCAAATTTATAAAAATTTGGGATTAAGAAAATCTGAAATGTTTCCCAAATTGAATATTCATACTTTGAATTGCAGGTGTTTCCACCAACGAGCAAGCTTGACCCTGAAGTTTATGGTGATCAAAACAGCAAGATAACTGAAGAACACATAATTCATAACTTGGATGGATTTACGGTAGAAGAGGTGAATTATCATCATTGAGTAAATAATCCCAAGAAAAAACAAGTTTTGATCCTCGGAAGATATTATTTCTGCATTCTCATATCTTGTATAATTTGTTGGCTTAGGCAATCAATAAGAACAGGTTGTTTATATTGGATCACCACGATTCACTGATGCCATACCTTAGACGAATTAATACAACTTCCACAAAGACTTATGCTAGTAGAACCCTACTTTTCCTTAAAGAAGATGGGACTCTGAAGCCATTGGCAATCGAACTGAGCTTGCCAAATCCTCGGGGAGATGAATATGGAGCGGTTAGCAAGGTTTTTGTTCCAGCCGAACAAGGGGTTGGTAGGTCAATCTGGCAACTTGCCAAAGCTTATGCGGCGGTAAATGACTCTGGCTACCATCAACTCATCAGCCATTGGTATTATTCTTCTGTGATATGGACTGAAAATTTGAGTATAGTTCTAGTCATATGGATTCTTGAATTTAACTTTGGTATCTTGTAGGCTGAATACTCATGCTGTAATTGAGCCGTTTGTGATTGCAACGAACAGACAACTAAGTGTTCTTCATCCAGTTTACAAGCTTCTCCATCCCCACTTTCGAGACACCATGAATATAAACGCGCTTGCTAGACAGATACTCATTAATGCAGGTGGCCTTTTAGAAGCAACAGTTTTTCCGTCCAAATATTCCATGGAGATGTCGGCTGTTCTATATAAGGACTGGGTTTTTCTTGAACAAGCGCTCCCTGCAGATCTCATCAAGAGGTAAAATATTCATGGTAGCATTTGCTATTGAGCATTAGTCCGGTTTAGGAAGATTTTCTTTTTCATACAATGTCCTGATACTTTGCAAACTAGTCATATAACTTTCTCAAGATCTTTGGTTCATTTAGAGGAATGGCAATTGAGGATTCAAAATCTCCACATGGAGTTCGTCTCGTAATTGAGGATTATCCATATGCTGTCGATGGACTCGAGATCTGGTCAGCGATCAAGACATGGGTTACAGATTATTGTTCTTACTATTACAAGACTGATGAAACCGTGCGGGATGACTCGGAACTTCAGTCTTGGTGGAAGGAACTTAGGGAGAAAGGTCATGGTGACAAGAAAGATGAACCGTGGTGGCCTAAAATGCAGAACATTTCTGAGTTAATAGACACATGTACTATCATTATATGGATTGCTTCGGCTCTTCATGCTGCAGTGAACTTCGGACAATACCCTTATGCAGGTTATCTTCCGAATCGACCGACTATAAGTCGCAAGTTCATGCCAGAAGAAGGCACTCCCGAGTATAAAGAACTTGAATCAGATCCCGATAAAGCCTTCTTAAGAACAATCACTGCGCAAGTACAAACTCTTCTCGGTGTCTCGTTGATAGAGATTTTGTCGAGGCATTCGTCTGATGAGGTCTATCTCGGCCAAAGAGACTCCCCTGAGTGGACTACTGACAAAGTACCACTCGAAGTGTTCGAGAAGTTCGGGAAAAAGTTGGCCGAGATCGAAGAAGCAATAACCAAAAGAAATGAAGATTTGACATTGAAAAACAGAGCTGGACCAGTCCTGATGCCCTACACTTTGCTGTATCCATCTGGTGATGAAGGGCTCTCAGGGAGAGGAATTCCCAACAGCACCTCCATTTAAACCTCTTCTTTGAATAAGGTACACAGAAGTGGCTATTATCATTCACTAAAGTATGGTAAATTATGTTCAATAAAGTGCAGTGTGTTCAATAAGTATTTGAAGCAATGATATTTTAGTAAATTATGTTAAAATCAGGAAAGTGTGGCTTTTTTCTTCCTGAGATTATGACCCTAACATTTCCTTGCATCCTCGATGATGTGATCTCGTTAGCTACTTGATTTGAACTGCTTCATAGATTGACAACTATCTCCATAAGCCGACACGGATTCTTTTAGCATGACTTGTCTTTATTCACATGTTTTCTAGAAAAAGTTATAGGAGGTCACTCAAAATACGATCGTCCCAAACTAAGCAACCTTAACTTTGGAGTTCTTATGAATGAGCCACCAAAAAGGAAGGTGTACCTAGTTGATATAGTTATGAACTATCAATTCTTTTCAAGTAACGATGGTGCACCTTATTGGTATAGTTAGTAACAATAAATTATTTTTAAGCATTTCTTAGCTATCATATGCTCATAATCACTCTTATATGCTCATAATCACTCTTATTTGGATGAAAGATTATGGGTATATAAGTAAGGGACTTATGCCTGAAGTGGGCAATTTCATATCAATCTAAAAGTTCCTTGTTTTATCGGTGGTCTTGAGAGTGCTATTCGAAAATCTTTATCTAAAAACTTGGATCTAAGAAAGAAAGCAAAGCTCGATGAAACATGAATCAATTTACAAGAACCACAAACGAGAGTAGATGAAATAAAACCAAGAACTAAACACAAACCCATAACCAAGCTATAGGTATTCAAATAGAAATGCTGTTGGGAATTCCTCGCATTGTAATCCCATCTTTGCTGGTAGGAAGTAGTAAAGTGTACGCCATGCTCATGGGTTGTCCAACACGATTCTTCAACGTGAAGTTTTGGTTTCTTTCCGCTATCATTATTTCAATTTCAGCAAGCCGTTTCTTAAATCTCTCGAATGCATTTAAAGCTTCTTGATCAAAAGTCCAATATGGATCGCTTCTTTCCCCTAAATAGGACTCGTCTTGAGAATGCGTAGATAGAAACTGAATCGTTGAGATATTCAAAATATCAACTTCTGGTAGTTCCGAAGTGATTGTTTTCATGAAAACTTTTTCGGGATCAGACTGCAGCTCTAGATACTCAGCCGTCCCTTCTTCAGGTAAGAATCTTTTGCTGAGAGACGGTCGGTTGGGAAGGAAACCACCGTAAGGGTATTGTCCAAAGTTAACTGCAGCATGAAGAGCTGAAGAAATCCATATGATAATCGTGCAACTGTTGATTAGTTCTTCAAAACTCTCCATCCTTGGCCACCATGGTTCGTCTTTCTTATCTTCATGGCCTCTTTCTCGAACCTCCTTCCACCATGATTGTAGCTCTTGATCCTTACGAATCATGTCATCATTCTCGTAGTAGAGTGAGCAATACTCTAGTACCCATGTCTTGATGGCTGCCCAAATGTCAAGTCCATCAACAGCATATGGATAATCCGCTATTAGTAATCGGAGTCCATGTGGGGCGCTTGAGTCCTCAATAGCAACTCCTCTAAACGTATCACAAACCAAGAAGAACTACATGAATTTATATCTCTAGGAAGCTAATAAACGAAGAAGAACTTATGATATCATGTTAGATAAAAGTTGTTACCTCCGGATTAGATCAGCAGGGAGTGCTTGTTGAGTGAAATTCCAACTTCGATAAGCAAACGAAGACATCTCCATTGAATATTTAGAGGGATATTGAGTTTTCTCGACAACGCCATTGGCATTAATGAGGTTTGCTCTCGCAAGAGAATTAATCTTCATGGTGTATCGAAAGTGAGGAACAAGCAACTTGTGAATTGGATGAAGAACACTGAGTTGTCTGTTCGTTGCAATCACAAATGGCTCAATTACGGCGTGAGTGTTCAACCTGCAAACAACGTAAGTAAAATTCTAACTTTTTTTCTTATGATGAATCGATCAAATTCTAGAAAAAAATTAAGGGATTAGAGAGTTTCACCAATGACTAACGAGCTGGTGGTGTCCAGAGTCATTGACACTAACATAAGCCTTAGCTAGTTGCCAAAGTGCTTCTCCAACCTTGTCTTGATGTGGCAACAATGTTCTACTAATGGCTCCGAGTTCGTATCCTTGAGGGTGCGGCAAGCTCAATTCAATTGCCAAAGGCTTCAAAGTCCCATCTTGTTTTAAGAAGAGAACTGTTCTTGTAGCGTAAATTTTTCTCGAAGTTGCATTTATTCTTTTAAGATACGGAATTACTAAATCATGGTGGTCGAGTATATAGAGCTTGTTCTTCGCAATGGCCTACATAAAAATGAACGTAATAGAATAGTAATCAATGACCGAAACCAAATTTGAACGACAAAAACCCTAATACTAAATCTCTTACCTGATCTATCGTGAGTCCATCTAAACTATTAATTATGTGTTCTTTGGTAATCTTGCTGGTTTGATCACCATAAACATCAGGGTCAAGCTTGCTAGTTGGTGGGAACTCCTGCACGTAATAAGAATAAATATTCGAAAATGAAGTAAATTTAAATAGTTTTATATAAAAATTAGAAAAAAAAAATTGACATTTACTTGGAGACGACGAATGATCATCGGGTTTGCTCCTGCCAACATTTCTCTAGCAAATTCTTCATCAGTCCTCCATCCGAATTGATCACCTGTTTAATTATACCATAACCTTTGTTATCCCTTTTATTATATTTTCCTGTTCGGTAAGTACAATTAAACTATTTTGATTTAGAAAATCTACTTAACATTATTCTTAGAACCAGACGAGATTGGAGTCTAAAGTAGTGTTGTAGTGACCTAGATCGAAAATTGGGCCTCGAAGACCGCACCACAAATAAGTATAATATTTTTAACTTGCCCTTATTTATTTATTTTTTTTTTTTGGAGAGACTGAATCAATAACGTTACGTTCTATAGTTCAAAGACTAAATTGTTATTGAACTCTTTTTTGACCGATCATAATTTTCAACTTAAAGTCGAGAGAATGCTACGTACCTTTGATCACTTGGGGTAGTGGAAATTTCGATCCTCGAAAGAAGGAACGCGGTCGATAGAGTGCAAAGAAATCTTCGAGGGAGTCGAATCGTTTCGGAGAATTTTCAATTAATGTAGCTTTAATTTTACCTTTAATAAATCCATATGTTGATTTAACTTGATGTAAAAGAAAATCTGATTCCTTCAAATCACTAAATCTTTCATCACACGGAATGTAAATGCCTTCGATAAAAGGTTTCGTCTCATATCTATCATCTGTCAATTCACAACAAGAATATTAATTAATTAATTTTTTTTCGTCGTTATTGTTGTAAATGTATCAACCTTTTATCAATAGAATGGTACTAATATGAAAATAAACTTACGAGATTAAATTGTATCTTACCTTTTCGTGAACGTGGCCTCCCCGTTCTTCCTCTACGAGGATAAGGATATTCTTTTGACCCTCCAAGAATGGGTCGGTTATTTGTAGAGTTAGAATCTGGATCGCTAATATCATTGTAGACGTCGTAATCATATATGTTTTCCCAGCTTTGGCGTTTCTGTTTACCATCTCCTCTCATTTTCACCAGTTCATCTTCTCTATACTTTTGAAGTACTCTCGGTGTTTGATTAGGAAGATATGCCTATAAAAACAACAAAACCAAAACAAATATTCCGTTATAAAATTTCTATTTTTAGAACTGAGAATGTTTGATTTATTATAACTTTCTTGTTTTACAAATTTTTAATAAAGATTATAACTTTACAAGAATTATTTTTTAAAAAAAAATTATAAATTGGAGAAAATTACTAGCCGCGAACTCGATGTCCACAAAAATAAATGGATAATTCAGCAGAGATTGAACTGGAAAGTCTCGGTCTCGAACATCTTGAGAAGAGAGAGAAAGAAGATAAGTACGAACCTCAAGAGGAGACCAAATAAAGAATAAAAATATTTGGTCTTAAAAAATAAATATAAAACGTCACGTGATACTAACATAAAAATTAATGTTCGAGATTCAACGGTTAAAATATTAGATTAAATTAAAGGAAGAAAAGTACAATTTTTTTCAAAATTTAAATCTTATTTTTTTTGTTCACAATCTTGGAAGCATACAAAATATTTACCTTATTGAGAAAGAAAATGCGATGATGTACGTACTTCTTAGGCTGAATCCAGGAGTTGCAATTGAAGTGAATGTTTCCCCAATAAGGGATATGAAGAGTGATAGATTTGAGGAAGAACTTGGAAGAATGGTTGTTTGTAACCAACATGGCTCCTGGGTACCCAATCTCTTCATCCCAATCAAACCTGATTAGCCCTTCATTTTTAACTCCTTCCATCTCCATCAAGTGTTCTTTCCCCACTTTCCCTTGCATTCCATTTGCTGTGTATACAAAGACCGGATTAAGTAATTACAAACGTTAACGGGTTTAGAAACTAATCAGGTCGATGAAGTGATTAGAAACTTTAACGGGTTTAGAAACTAATCAGGTCGATGAAGTGATTAGAAACTTCAACGGGTTTAGAAACTAATTAGGTCGATGAAGTGATTAGAAATTAATCAGGTCGGTGAAGTGATTAGAAACTTTAATGGGTTTAGAAACTAATCAGGTCGGTGAAGTGATTAGAAACTTTAATGGGTTTAGAAACTAATCAGGTCGATGAAGTGATTAGAAACTTTAATGGGTTTCGAAGTTCATGATTCAAAGCTCGTCTATAAATGAGAGGTTTGTACACCATCCCAGTAAAGAAATGCTTACAGATTCCCGTAGCTGCAAACACGTCTATTAGGGAGAGGTTTCCATAACCGCCCTTGAGGAAAAACATGTCTATTAGGGAGAGCGGGTGTGTAAACCCCACTCCAATCGATGTGAGATTTCATAATCCACCACTCTTGGTAGCAAATACATCTATTAGGGAGAAATTTCCACACCCTAATAAAAGATGCTTCGTTTCTCTCTCCCGATCTCACAATCCATTGCCTTTGGTGGCAAGATGGCAAACACATTTAGGGAGAGGTATCCACACCCTAATGCTTCGTTCCTCACTCCAACCGATGTGTGATCTCACAATCCACTACCCGTACCCTTGGTGGCAAACACATCTATTAGGAAGATACTTCGTTTCACTTTTCAATCAACGAGAGATCTCACAATCCACCGCCCTTGAGAGCCCAACGTACTCATTGGCACACTATCCAGTATCTATTAACAAATATTGTTCTCTTCGGGCTTCCTCTCAACGTTTTAGAATCTATTACACAGAGGTTTCCACATTCTCATAAGAAATGCATCGTTCCCCTCTCCAACTAACACGAAACCGCACACAAACATTCATTACACAAATTAAACAAAAGGGTAGCAAGAGTTAAACAAAATACAATGCTCAAAACCAAGAAACTTACATGGATCACCATTCATGCAGCTAATGAGTTGGAAGGAAACATTTTGTCTATCCTTACTACATAGGTTCGTCAAACTCACATGACCTAAAAGCTTCTCTACTCCCAACATCTCTGTCTCTCTCTCTCTCACAGCTATAATCATGCAATGTTTCATATTTATAACCAATGTTTCATAAAGTGAAAAACTAGAAATATTATTCATTATATCATATGATCAAAAACTATATAATATAAATCCACTAGAAATTAAAATATAGAGAAAGTTCATATAATATATACTCTTTTCCCAAAATTATTCAATGCTTAATTATTTTTCTACCCTCCTATTGTTCTAAAAAAGAACACATTTTGTCGTTTTGAGGAATTTAATATTTACAAGTGAGTAGTTTAAGGATAACCATTTGTAAGTTTATTTATAATTTATTTGTAGTCAACTAATTATTGATGAAAGTCCCAATTATATATATGAGTGTGACAACTTTGTTAAGAACATATTAGGGGTATGCTTTATATTTAATCTACCAACAACTAGATTATAATAATAAAGATTGATTATTTTATTTACTATTTGATATTATCCCTTTGTTAGTATAAAATAAAATAGTGAAAAATTAGAAAAATGGGTCAAAGTTAGCCTCGGGATAAATGATTGGAGTTGAAATGTCGAAGTTTTTTTACAAGATATACTCAGTAGGTCGAGATGGAGTTGAAATGTTGAAGTTTTTTTTACAAGATATACTGAGTAGGTCGTGGACATCTATTTTAGGATGTTGAATGGCTCAATTCCGTCAAGAATCGAGAAAGAATGTATGGGTTTTGAGTTTTTTTAACTTAGTTTGTTGAAACCTTTTGCGATGATTTCAAAGAATGGAATTACCATACCAAATAACTCGAACACTTTCGTATCATTAACACGTTTGACGCAGTCTCAAATTTTATAATCCCACAGTCCAGTTAAAATCACAGCAATGCCTCCTTCCTTGATCAAACGTTTCACGAGGACGGAGTTTCACCGGAACTACGAAATGCTGATATTTTCTTCTCTTCTACTTTCTTCCTTGGATGATGGTGCTACTGTGAAAAGAATGAAGTAGGACTTAGAGCAGTATCGACAATTCTATTTCTCGATCATAAATTAAAGAATGATGTTAAAATATTTAGTAATAAATTATAGTTTATCATATATATCATATTTGATATTTTATTATAAGGCAAATATCTAGATATTTGTCTTATTATCATAATTATCTTTCAATTTATTACTCTTTCCATATCTTTGTAATTTATTTGATTATAAATAGATAACTTTCACTTCAACTGCGGTGGATTAAGCAAATATTCTCGTTTCTTCCTTCTCAATTCACTATGATCAACTCAGTTTAGCCCTTTTTATTAAAAAATTCTCGAACGTGCTTTCAAAAGGCTCACTTCAGCTGAATTCCTCCACAAATGTTAAGAATGACCCAATTGTTCGATTCAATTATTATTCAAATCTTAACGATCTTGCACAACACGATTACAAAAAGTGGGAGTATCAAACTGATATTGTCACGAAATTATTATTAAAAACAAGATACATGCACGTTCTTAACTTGATCTTTGTTGCAGCATCTGAAGGCCAACATACCTGAAGAAATAAAATTGAAAATGATTAAAAAAAGCAAAATTATACGTAATATTATAAATTTAATAACTCACCGGCCAAGCATCATGACGGTGGCCATTGGATTAGTTCCCGGCGAGACAGCGAAAGTTGAGCCATCAACGACACGCAAATTTTCGACTCCGATGACTCGGTAATTACTATCGACCACTTTTCCGACCAAGCATCCGCCGTGGTAATGCCAATAAGTGGTCACTGTTTCCTTACAATACTCTTCAACGGAGCTATTATCCGACAAGTTTTCCGGCAAGGGAGGCCCCAGAAACTGAAACCGTTTATTACCCTTCAAATCTTGCGTCTTGATCTTTTCCATCGTTCGGGTTTTAAGCAAATCTCCCACTTTTCGTAATCCTCTAACGCATCGTACAAGATCGTTAGGATTTGAATAATAATTGAATCGAACAATTGGGTCATTGTTAACATTTGTGGAGGAATTAAGGTGAAGTGAGCCTTTTGAAAGCACGTTCGAGAATTTGCCAATAAAAAGGGCTAAGCTCGGGTTGATCATAGTGGATTGAGGAGGAAGAAGGCTAAAAGTTGGTGAAATAAAAAATGGAGAAGGGCTTGCCAATGTTTCCAAATAGATATTGCCGTCTAATATTCCGACTACTTGTGATGATGAAGCTACCAGTGGGAATGGAAGCACGATGGCGGCGGTGAAACGGGGATTGTCGGACATGAACTCGCCGACGTCGGGTTGGTCAAGAACGACGGGTAGTTTTAACGATGAAAGATGAGATTTTGAGCCAACCCCACTTAGAAGGAGAAGCTGAGGGCTTCCAATGGCTCCGGCACTCAATATGATCTCTCCTTTCTTGCGGATGAATGCGGTATGAGTATTTCCTTTTGAATCGGAATATGAAACTCCAATTGCTGATAGATCTGTGATGAGTTCATGATAATCAAAAGTTAGTGTTTCAATGTTTCAATGCAATGAAATTAAGTTTATTATCAAGTTCATTTCCTTTTCTTTTAACCATTTATAGCCTTAATTCGAATAGATTTATGAATCTTGTGATAAGTACGGATCCATTGAAATGTCCACGGGACGGTGATAAGGAAAGTTTTCCCACGGAATGGAGATGTCCCCGACCAAGGGACTGAGTCTCACCTTGGCTAATTTAGGGAATGATCATGAGTTTATAAGTAGAGGAATACATCTTCATTGGTATGAGGCAAAAGCCCAAAGCAAAGCCATGAGAGCTTATGCTCAAAGTGGACAATATCATACCATTGTGAGAGTCGTGATTCCTAACATGTATTAGAGTCATGCCCTAGACTTAGCCATGTCAATAGAATTCTCAAATATTGAACAAAGATTTGTGAGTCTCGAAGGTGTAGTCAAAAGTGAATAAAGTGTCGAACAAAGGGTTTACTTCGTTCGAGAGCTCCATAATCCTCAGGGGAGACTTATAGAATATCATACCATTGTAGAGAGTCGTTAGATGTTGTCCTCTTTGAGCTTTCCCTCTCGGGTTTCCCAAGGAGAACGAGTGCCAACGAGGACGTTGGTCCCTGAAGAGGTAGATTGTGAGATCTCACATCAGTTGAGGAGGAGAAAACAAGGATGCTGGGCTTTGAAGAGGTAGATTGTGAGATCTCACATCGGTTGGGGAGGAGAAAACAAAGATGCTGGGCTCTGAAAGGGTAGATTGTGAGATCCCACATCGGTTGGGGAGGAGAAAACAAGGATGTTGGGCTCTGAAGGGGTAGATTGTGAGATCCCACATCGGTTAGGGAGGAGAACGAAACATTCTTTATAAGGGTGTTGAAACCTTTTCCTGGTAGATGCGTTTTAAAACCTTGAGGGGAAGCACGGTAGGGAAAGCTCAAAGAAAACAATATATGCTCGCGATAGAGAACAATTTATGCTAGCGATGGGCTATAACAGCCCAATATCATCACTAGCAGATACTATCCACTTTGACTCGTTACGTATCGCCGTCAGCCTAACAATTTTAAAACACGTATGTTACGGAGAGGTTTCCAGGTTTCCACATCCTTATAAAGAATGGTTCGTTACTTTCTCCAATGATTGCTACAGAGAATCTCTTGTTCTCCATTCCTTGTTTAAATTAGAATTTTTTTAGTGAACTGGGATTCCGGTCATACAAGTTAAATAGACATTTCTACTCACCCGAAAAAATGATTTTCTCAACGGTAGCACGAACCGCAACTTTAAGATTTTCGGGTTGAACCCCATTAAGAAGCTCCACAGCTCCATGTCTATTTCCTTCCACATCAAAGATAGAGCCTCCAATTTTAGTCCCCACAAGATGTCTCAAATCAAACCCATTATAAGGGCGAACACCACCTTCCAACAAAGCACTTCTAAAAGCACTTTGCCAATCACTCAACCTTGGGCGAGAAACCACAGTCTGTTCAACCCATTCATAAGCCTCCTCCACCAATTCCATGTCCCAATCAACGCCTGCACTTTCAAAGAACTCCCGATGGCCCCTCGAGTAGAACCCAGCATTCACCATGCTACCACCGCCAAGAACCCTTCCTCTAATGACATCCACACCATCCACAGTGATGAAGCGCTGGAAGGGGTTTTGGCCATCATCTTCTTCAGCAAAAACGTTCAATAAACCTTCCTCCTTCAACACAGACGGGTATTTGTTGGGCTCACTTCCTCTTTCTAGAACGAGGATTGAATATTTTGATGACAAGGTTGCAGCTAATGGACACCCCGCTGTTCCTCCTCCTATGATTATGTAATCATATTCTTCGTTTTCGGGTAAGTCGGTCGCGTCATGAACTAGCTTCATGTAGCTCTCATCTTCAAAACAAAAGCTTACAACAATCAAAATCAATAAACAAATAGTATTGTTAGACGAACACGACTCTCCACAATGGTATGATATTGTCCACTTTGAGCATAAGCTCCATGACTTTGCTTTGGGCTTCTCCAAAAGACCTCGTACCAATGAAGAGTGCCTTCTTAGATTAGAAACCCATGATCATTCCCTAAATTAACAGACGTGGGACTTCCATCATCCAACAAATATTAGATCCTACGTCGGGGGAGAACAAAATACCCTTTGTAATGGTCTCGAAGCTTCTATGTAACAGACGCGTTTTAAATTTTTTGAAGAGAAGTCCGAAAGGAAAACAAAAAAAAAATGATGAGTTTGAGCTTGTTCTTACCTTGATTAGAGATAGCGTGCGAGGAGAGGACTCGTACGAGAAAGAAAGAGATAAAAATTAGTGGAAGAGTGATAGCCATAGAATAATGCTCTATGGTTTTCAAAAGCTGAATACAATATTATGCTCTCTAGTATGTTTCTTCCTTGGTATTTATATAGATCAAAAGTTTGGAGTAGGGATAGAGAAGTTAGTGTTTCCTACCGTGGTTGCCGTCATATGTTCCAACCAAAATTTCATTTATTTTCGTGGGGATTAAGATGAAGATTTTGTGTAATAGTCGAAGTCCACTGCTAATAGATATTGTCCGCTTTGGCCCGTTACAAATGATCGTCAGCCTCACGATTTTAAAACGTGTTTACTAAGGAGGGGGTTTTCATACCCTTATAAGGAATGCTTTGGGGGCCAGCGTTCTTGTTGGTGCACGACTCAGTGTCTGGTTCTGATACCATTTGTAACAGCTCAAGCCTAATGCTAGCAAATATTGTTCTTTTGGCCTTGTGAGATCCAACCCGGTTGGAGTTGGAGGAGGAAAATGAAGTATTTCTTGTAAGGGTGTGTGGGAATCTCTCCTAGCAAACGCATTTAAAATCGTGAGGCTAACGAGTCAAAGCGGACAATATTTTGTTAGCGTTAGTAGTGAGTCTAGGCAGTTACATTCCCAAAATTCGTACCATTGAGTTTTTCATAATTTTTTCGTTTTTATATTTTTTCAAAAAAATTATTCATCAATGAATCTATTTAATTGACAATTTCTATTTTTTTTTATTAAACTTCTATTAAAAAAAATGTAAAACATCTCATCAATCTAATAATATTTTATAAACATATAATGACATATTCTGTCCGTTTAATTTTTAAAAATTTAAATTTTAATATTTCACCGTAATTTTCAAACGCTTAAAAAAAACTTCAATATACTAAAAGAAAAAAATCTCACCTCACTCCTTTTATTCCCCGTCCTTTCAAAGTGGGTTCCTTGTAGGTTAAATAGAAAAACGAGCTCCGTACCAAATCAGAAGGATATTCGTTAAATATGGCCAAACTTGATTAACATAGATAGAATAATCAGAACCCGAGATGGTATTACAAAGATCTAAGAAAAAAAATGAAGCGTTATTTATCTTAATCAGATGAGTTATATATAATTTCTAATACCAAATGCTCTCGGGTGCTATAATTTTAAGCAAATTGTGTTTGGAATACGAGAATAAGGATCGGAATGAATAAGCGCTCGAGAAATTTTAAACTTTCTTTTATCGACAATTCAACAAATTTGATTTAATATTTACGAGCAAGAATTTAATGAACGGCCGACCTAAGTACTAAACAATGCAGTCAACGGCACGTACAATAATGGCTACACCTAAATTAGGTGGCCATAACATTCTTTTATAAACTAACGTAATTTAGATTAATTATAACAAAACTATAAGCTAAAAAAGTAAAAATATTTTTAAAAATATATATTATTATTATTTTTAAAACAAATTTCAAAATAATTTTAATAGAATTTTCAAATTATTTTCGATAAATATTATAGTGTACTAGCTTACATATTTAATGCTATTAAATAATAAAACTACCGATTGATAAACATCTTAATTACAAGTGGGTTCCAACCCGTCCCTGCCACTTGTTCCAATGAAATTTCTCGTTTACTTAACCTATTCGGGGCTAGTCTTTGCAAGGACATCGCTACTCGGTTTGGAGTTTAGATGTCAAATTGATTAACGTTGGTTGGTGTGAATGTCACGTTTGATTGGTCGATTCACGTATATTTATTAATACGAAACAACAAATATGTAGATATGAGTATTCTTGTATCGCACGCATGGACGACTCAATTTTATTACTAATTATAAAATAATTGATGTAACGTAGATGTGAATGTGAATAATAATACTAGCGTCTTTGTTCAAAACTTCTGTGATAATTTTTTATACGGAACTAGAGATTAATGTATATTTGTTGGAATCTGTTGGTAACGAGGACGATAATACTTTTGACACTTTCTCTAGGTGGAAACAAAATGATTGAATAAGTTGGATAATTCTAGCATCTACTATAGCATCTAAGTCAGTTTTCAGTATTGGAAGACGTGTAGTTTACTCATCTCGTTCTTCGTTTGATATAAGAACGAGAGAGACTCTTAATGCACTCAAAACTAGCTAAAATAAAGTTTTTTTTTTTTTTTTTTGAGATCCACATCGATTGTAGAGAGGAACGAAACATTCTTTATAAGGGTGTGAAAACCTTTCTCTAATAGATGCGTTTTTTACGATACGTAACGAGCCAAAGCTAAAATATATAGTAGCAGTGAGCTTGATCTTTTACAAAAGTACTGATTAGTCAACCAATCGAATCCATTCATAAAAAAATTCATTTATTTTGACCTTTTACATTTAATTAGCAACACGTTAATAAAACAACAATTACACGTCAAATTTTCTTTAATAATATTTTTATTCTCGAAAATTTTTAAACACAAAATTTACATTAAATATTAGAGAATATTTAATATATATATATATATATATATATATAAAGCTAAAATTAAATAAAAGTTCTAAGAAAAGCAGGAGAGGGAAAAGATCCACGTAAAACTTTAGGAATTATGGTCGCCAGGGTTCGAACTAGGGAACTCACATATGAGACAACCTATCGGTGCACGACGCGTGGGCATACGCGTATAAGGCTCCTTGAGTGCGTGAAGGCACGTGAGGTTAGTTTTTCAACTTGTTTGACTCTCGTTGGACTGTTTCGCTCGTCTCGAAATTAACCATATTTTGACTTGAATTATGATCCATCGGATAAATTTTAAAATTTTTGAAGGTCTTAATACGTGAAAAATTTAGCTCGAAAAGGCACACGTCATCCAAAAAAGTAATCACACGGACTTTAGGCAAGTAATACTTATAAGAATCGCTTGGACATGCTAGCATGTGAACATCTATTACCTTAGGTGGTTAAAAAATGCATGTTAAGGACTTCAAAATGACATTTTTGGATGAGTCAATAGTATACTTATGTTATTGTAAAATTACCGTTAGGATCCTAGGTTTAGATTTCCGAGAAGCATGTTGTTTTGCATATTATGTAATGCTAGAAATAGATTATGCATGACTATAATACGAGTTGGGCAATATGGATGAGTATGTTAAACATGACGTAAGAAATTACCATAATACCCTTGTGATGAGATTCGGGATGAATATTATTTTATATACTTTTACCCCGTGTTAGAAAAGAGGTTAAGCTATTGTGATATGTGATTCATGTGAGATCGTCTTCATCTTGATTTTATTAGATTTTTATCTTTTATTTTATTTTACTATTATTTTTATTTATTTTTATCTTTCATCTTTTTTTAGTCTTAGATTTAAATTTCAAAACCTCAAAATTTCGATTCTTACTGACATATGAGGATCATGTTCAAGTAATAACCTAAATGGTTTATAACACAAGGATAAGATTGAGGTTGAGTGTCTTATTCTAGTAATACAATTGATACGAGTCACTTTGTAATTGTTACAAATTATTTGATCCAAATTGTTGATATGAAGATATATGAGTCGATGTTTCCGATATAATGAGTTTATATAAAACTTAACAATGAAATATTAATATGATCACAACTGCACGCATGACATGATTAATTTGTGCAAAAAAAAAAAAAAAATCATAATAAATACTTTAAAACGTCGTCATAAAATACAGAGGTGGAATATAAATTACGTGAATTTAAATGAAATAAAACAAGTCGTAATCTAATCTAAGAGCTACCAAACAGAGATGAATTCGACTACCCTAACTTTGGTTCCATGACCTTCATCATGAGACCCTCATCTGTACTGGAGTGTCTTACATTTACCTAAGAAATAAAAGTAGCACGTGATTTAAAGTAATACTCAGTATGTAATCCAATTGTTGGGGTCTCTTAAAATACTCCAACAATGAAGTTACTTATGGTATATTTCTTAAAATACTCAACCCACGTATACTCTTATTTTTTCAGGTGAAGGTAAGACATCTCTATACGGATGACAACGTCGTGGAGAAAGCTATGAGACCGAAGCTAAGATCGTATTCATGCTTGTTTTTGCAGCTCTTAAGTTAGATCAAGTTATTACTTTTTTTTTTTTTTGTTTAAATTCACGTTATTTATGTCTGCTATATAATTTAAATGACTTTATTATTAACGTTTAAGTTAATGACATCGTTTATCCAATATTTCTACAGAACTTTCCGTACATACTCAGCATGTCATGCATGTAGTGATGTGTCTATTTTATTAAAAAAAAAAAAAAAGATCGTTACACGGGTTCCAAATCACTAAATATTATGTTTTTTATAGTTCAATATTATGTTTATTGACAATTTTATCATTTAGAAAAAAAATACGTTAAAACATTACAATTTCATGTTTTTTTTTTCAATCTTTATATAACAAAAATAATAAAACAATAAAACAATAAAATATTTATTATTATATTCTATTAATAAATATTTGAACCTCAACCCCACATGATTCACATTTGAATTGTTTTCTTATTTTTAATTTTTAATACATAAAATTTAGTTGCTGTCTCATCTTCTAAAATCACAGATTTCTTGAAATGCTAAAAACGATAATATTATTATCTTTTATGTACAGAGACAAAAATTTACCCATAATTTAAATATCAATTTTTTCTATTTTTTAATTTCTGAAAATTTTTCTCACTAATTCTCTAATTCTTTTTAAAATGGGTTTTTGCACAAATCTTTTTACCCATTACCAATCGGGTGGAGATGGAGACACGGAATATAAGCCCGTCTCTAGCCCCATTTATCTAATAAAAAAAAATATTTCTCACTCCCGGGCGCATTTTTCATGCCCTCCCGTTCGAGGCACGTAAAATGGACATCTCTTTGTTTGATACGATATTGTGCTTTTTGGGCTTTCCCTTTTAAAATGCGTCTATTAAGGAGAGGTTTTCACACCCTTGTAAAGAATGTTTCGTTCTCCTTCCCAACAGTGGGGAGTATCACAATCTACCCCCCTTTGGTTTCCAGCGTCTTCGCTGACACTTATTCCCTTCTCCAATCGATGTAGAACCCCTCAATTCACCCCCTTTGAGGCCCAGCCTCCTTACTGGCACACCGCATGGTGTCCACTCCCCTTCGAGGCTCAGCCTCCTCACTGGCACATCGTCCGTTACCCAGCTCTACTACCATTTGTAACGGCCCAAACCCACCGCTAGCAAATATTGTCCTATTTGGGTTTTCCCTTCGGCGCTTCTACTCAAGGTTATTAAAAAGCATGGGTTAGAGAGAGGTTTCCACGCTATTATAAAAAAAATTATATTTATTTTAAAAAAATGTAAAGAACATTCGAAGTTTTTGTGTAAGAAGCTCGAGAGTATATATAATGCTTAATGTCCAAGATTCAAATCAGAATTTGAAAACT